CTGAGTGTTCCAACCAACATAGCCAGATAAGAGAGCAATAAGCACAATAGCCAGTATAATGGCGGTCGACAAGACACTCACCTGAAACCAAGTGACGTAACAGCCACATGACCTTGCTGAAGAGGCACTTTCACCTACACCCAGTCCACCTCCATTCACTGTTCTTTCTGGCCTTATACTAACTACTGTATTTCGAGCATGAACGTTGTGGTCTCTTTCATTAATCTTAGCACTATGTCCAACTCCATCATTTTCTTCTACACTTTCTCCAACTCCTTCGCTGTCACCAACTCCTTCTACTCCAGGTGCCTGCTGGATCCCATTGGCCTCACTTCTCGGCATTGTTCTGTTTTTTCTTTTCTTCCAATGTTCGACAAATAATTCCTGTATCAGGTAAAATAAATCAAACACGAAATCAGTTATTGATAGAGACAAGTAAAGTAAATTTATGAAAAATGACAAGCAGCAATAAAAATGAACACGGAAAGTTGAATTTTATTACAATAAATAAAATAATTTAGACTATATATAATATTTTATATTTAGTATTTTTTACCAGGACTCTTCTGTCACGTCCAATAACAGAGGGAATAATTTCTCTTTATTGAAGTGATTCGCTACTTTTTCTTATATTTTAGAATGCTTCTTAATATTCATTTGATAATATTATGATAACAGAGTTCCTCAGAAAATAACATTTCCTGTACAGTTAATTAAATTTTTTCAATTAGAAAGTACATTTTATTTTTGCCTAGTTCGTTGTTGAGATATCAAAAAACATCACTGATGTTTTATTATCTGATAATATGTTTATCTGACTTTTTATGAACTTTTTATATCTAAGAAATAAATAAAATAATAATTGTAAAAATATTATATAGATATATACACATATATATATATAATGTAAAAATTATATATATATATATATATATATATATATATATATATATATATATATATATATATAAATTATGAAGGATTTGACATAATTAAGTAATTCATCGAGTCTAGAAGAAACCTCAAAAGAATGCAGAAAGCACTGGACGGTCGTTTCTTCCTTTATTTGGGGCTCAATCAGCAGTGCATCATATATATATATATATATATATATATATATATATATATATATATATGAATTTAAACCCATTATGTATAGAATAAAAGTGATTCACAAGCCAGTCATTCAGAAACGAATATAATGTACTCCATATACAAACTTGAAAGCAATGTTTCTTAGAAAACATACGTCTACAGATTTTGTTAAAATGAAATAGACTCAATTTTAGATCAACTTTATAAGATCAATATTTTAATCATAATTATTATGTTTGATCATTATTATCGAAAATCAATTAGATCAATATTTCATTTAATCCACATATATATTCAATTTTAGTGTTTCCCTTGCAATTTAATTATAAATTTTACGGTTCTTCAAGTATATCAATAATATCTATTATCTTCAGGGCAGTAATATGCAATAATATCTATCTTACTACAGGGCAGTAATATGCAACTCACACACAAAACCTGAATGGAAAACAATTTTATGACTAGGTTTTAGCGGCATCATCAATTTTCATGAAATTTAGCAAGATTTACGACATAATAATAGCATTATTTTCCTAATTTAAAAATATATATCAGTATTTAGAACTGTCAATAATATTTTAACAAATTAGATTTTATTGTGAAATTTTTAGTTCTTTAACTTTTATAATTATTAGCTTTCATTTTTGTACTTTTGCTTTTAATAAGTGAAAATTAAATTTCAAAACAGGGTATAAAATGCAGTCTGAATATGTTATTTAATGACGCGTGAAATGATATGAATATATCAAAATAACATCTCTATTATTCTGCCTATTTTCTGTACACCTGTTACGCTTTTCTACTTACGATCAAAGTGTAGAGTCTGTTCGATTCCCCAAATTTTTCTGAGTTGGAATACATCATACTTTCTGACTGAGAAATCTACATAATAATATTAAGTGAGAAGGAATTGGGGTAAGCGAAGCAGTAGAAGGAAGGCGAAAAATGCATGCATATGTTAAGAAGTAAAGAACAAATACATTCTACTTTTATCTTTCCTTTACTCTCTCGCTGTTTAATACATCACAATTTTTAATTTTTTTATAGTAGCAAAATAAAATGTTGGACACTTTCAAATATAGACAATGACCAAAAGATTAAAAAGAATGGAAATATATAAATCCCTCTTTCATATTTATAAACCTACCACCCGCTCGTGCATTGAACATTGTTGCCATATCTGGACTGCTGCTCCTAATACTTATCTCGAGATTCTTGACAAAATTCAAAGAAGGGTCTCTGATGTAACCGATTCTAACCTAGCAGCTTAACTTCAGTCACTTTCCCACTAATGTGATGTGGTTTCCATCTGTCTTTTCTATAAATATTTTCACTTTGCAATTGTTCTGAAGTGCCTTTCTCTTTGATGCTTCGATTGCATGATGCTACTAGATTGGCACCCTGGTTTCACCCTTTGTTGAAACTTGACTAATGCATGGAATAATAATGCGACACAAAATGTACTTAGAACAAAATGTATTGAAACAAGAAAGTGTACACAATATTTACATATAGTCTTTTGTATATTCCTGGTAAGACCGTTCCTGGAGAATGTGTTGACAGTTGCAGTCGGGCAGAGTCTCTGGATTGAATCTCTTGATTCCCCCCCCCCTCGTCTTCCCGGTACCAACCATATTTATATGGTCGGTACTCCACTATGCAAATTAGGTGGATCCTACCACAACACCCTTTTTACTGTTGAACTATCCAGATGCAACTGTTGGTTCTATTGCAATAGTTTCATTTTCCTATTTCTTGTTTCCTTCAAACCTACAATCTTCAAAAGTTGAAATGCAACGTCAATCGCCATCTTCTGTCTTCATGAATCCTGTTCCTTCATCGCCATTTTCTTCACTGTGGCATTGTCGCCTTGCTTTGAGAGGGGGGTCAAACGATTAGAAAAACTACTTTCAAGCTTGCTAATAAAAGTAGAGATGGAAAGGCGTTAAAATTGTGATGTATTAAACAGCGAGAGAGTAAAGGAAAGATAAAAGCAGAACGTATTTGTTCTTTACTTCTTAAAATATGCAACTAAGCCATTCTTATAGCATTACTATAAAATCATGAATGGACAACAAAAATTAAAATGGATAATGGAAAGAGTGAAAAGATACAAACAAGAAAGGATAACAGAGGCATGAATTGATGGATAATCTTAGTTGTTAACTAGCAGCATGGCCCGGCGTTGCCCATGCTTGATTCAAAAATCGTACGACTCGTACAGCAAGCGCTATCAATTGACTTAAAATATTTTTGCCCTTCCTTGCCCTTAAAGAAGTGCCCTTTGCCGTGCTGATGTTGCTACATGCCTTACTTCTTGCCTATCTCACACTGCGATTTTTTTCTAAGTTCTATACTAAACATTAAATCTGTTACGAAAAAAGAACTAAACAAAATAAACACAAAACGATCAGCTTTAAAAAAGGACTCAAAACTGGAAAAACCGAATGAAAAAAGAATGTTAACAACAAATTCTTTTTCACACCCAACCCAGTTCTGCGGAATCAGAATCAACGTTTTGTTTAAGCAAGCGAATGCGTCAATTGGAGTAAAGTGCCATGCAGATTTAAACTTTTCCCACTTGTGCTAGTTAACATTCGTGTCAGTCAGCTGTTGGTTCTCACGCTGGCCAATAGAATCTTCCTGCCTATTCGTGGCAGTCAGCTATTGAAAAAATTGATTATTTCCACTATCGATGGGAGTTGGAAAATGCGAAGTCAGTCTTGGCCTTCCCGTTAACTTGGAGCATGTGCATGTAAATTTTGGTGCAAATCCGTCGAAAATTGCGGCCGTGCATTCATTACACACACACACACACACACACACACACACACACACACACACACACACACACACACACACATCCTGCCTTTTATAGATAGAGATATCGGTGAAATCTCCAAAGGTCTAGCTCGTAAAAATCATTTGCATGTAATGAGCATTGGTTTATATATCGCGCGTCTTCTGTAGGGCGAAATATTAGTAAGTTACTATCAGATATCCTTTCTACTCTAATGAATTAAATTTTCACTGGGTATCTCATAATTATAGCTTCATTTTTAAATATTCCATTTAATTGGTGTATATATTCAATTTTTGAAATCGATTTGGCAATTGAATTATAGCGTTGGTGACAATGTTTACGAAAACAATACGCATCGTTCACTGTTAAAAACCTTGGACTTACTGAGAATGAATACGCCATATGAATTATTTTGTCGATAAACTAATTACATTTTACTCAATAAATACCTTTTCCCCCCTTAGTTTTGATTCTTAAAGTAAAAATGTAAGACCGATAGATGGAAAATAAATTAATTTCGTCTTTTCTTTTCTTTCATCTGTTTGCTATGGGTGCAATGTAAAGCGGATTATATATTTGGTATTTGGCGCTTACATATTCAGTGATTAAATATGTTGATTATTCGGTAATCTAATGATTTATATTTATGACTCATCGATAAGTGAAAATCAAAGCACCGAATTTCCGCAACTTTATCGAAAATTTTGACCAAACTAAAAACTACATATGTAATATTTATGGGAAAATATAATAAATTTACTTGATGTAAATTCGAATTAGCAGCTACTTATACTAGAGAATTAAAGTCTTCACATTTAAACATGATCATTTCGAATGATTAAAGATGATTTTCAAAATAACTTTCTTTAAAAATAGCTTAATATGAATATTTTTATGATTTTTTTTTTTGTTAAGAATTCTTTGAAAATTTTTTAGAATTAGGTATAATTTTGGCTAAATTTAAGACGAATTTATTGAATGAAATGAAAATTATTTTAGACGTTAAAGTCAATTACTTATGTTGTGATTTTTGTTTCCACTTGCTTTGGTTGAATATAATTGATGTAAAGAGAGATTCTACCAGTGAAGGGAAAGAGGGATTCTACCAGTGAAGGGAAAGAGAGATTATAGCAGTGAAGAGAAAGAGGTATTCTACCAACGAAGCGAAAGAGGGATTCTGCCAGTGAAGCGAAAGAGATATTATACAACAGACGGGAAAGAGTGATTCTACCAGTAAAGGGAAAGAGTGATTCTACCAGTGAAAGGAAAGAGAGATTCCATCACTGAAGCGAAAGAGGGATTATACCTGTGAAGTGAAAGAGAGATTATACCGGGGAAGGGATACTTTCAGTGAAGGGAAAAAGGGATTTTTCTACTGAAGGGAAAGAGGGATTATACAAATGAAGGGAAAGAGGGATTATACATGTGAAGGCAAGAGAGATTGTACCATTGAAAAGTAAGAGGGATTTGACCAGTGAATGGAAAGAGGCATTCTACCAGTGAAGCGTAAGACGTATTCTACCAGTGAATAGAATGAGGCATTCTACCAGTGAAGCGTAAGACGTATTCTACCAGTGAATAGAATGAGGGATTCTACCAGTGAAGGGAAAGGGGGTATTCTACCAGTAAAGAGAGAGAGAGAGAGAGAGAGAGAGAGAGAGATAGAGAGAGACAGAGAGAGACAGAGAGACAGAGAGAGATTATACCGCTGAAGATAGAGTTATTCAACCAGTGAAACTGAAGAGTTATTCTACGAGTGGGAAAGATACATTGTACCATTGAAGAGAAAGTGGGATTCTACCATTGAATGGAAAGAGGGATTCTACCAGTGAAGATATTATACTACGAATGTTTTCTATTCATTTAAATAAACGTTTCTAACTTAGATGACACGCTTAATGGCCTTATTTTAGTCATTTGCACAGGAAAAATCCACTGATATCAATGTTTGATAAATTAAGCGTATGTCATCTGAAATGCGAAACTGAACAAATCAATATATGATCCCCTTATTAGGGCTTTGGAAATTGACAACACTTTAGGGATCCTAGACATTTAAACGCAATCTACATTTCATCTAATATCGCCCAGCAGTCTGCCCTTGTCCATGTTCTATTTTTGCAAAATTTGCCTTTGCAGTAATATTTCTGCAAAAAGATAATTTGATATTGTCTATTTGTTAAATGTGCACGTATATCCACATGAAACATAAGCATACGTTTATTAGCTTGTCTTAACATTTGTGTATTAATGTTTCTATCAATCTATTATTGGTTCAAGTCCTTGTGTGTTGTGTGTTAGATAGCAATACATATGCACTTGTATTTATGCTCGCAGATTACAACTTACCACTGTGCATTTGTTGATATCATTATGTTCGTTGTTCACTACCTAATTTCTTTTTCACACTATCTTTTAATGTCTATTATAGCCTTATATTTTTCTTCATAAAAATTGCAAAAAATAGTCTTACGGGATTTCTTGCTCATTTGATTGAATTGTATTTTTAATTTCTAATTAAATTTCCATAATGTAGTTCAAGAATATCATGAAACTGAATAAGCAAATTTAGTTTCAGGGGATATTTTAAAGCTAGAAGCAAAATAGCAATAGGTATTTTGCAACCCTAGCATAGTTAATTTCTCTAATTATTTAAAGTTGGTATAGACATTCAGTAAAGTCGAACTATCATTTATCTTCATTCATTCCTCTTTATTCTCTTTTGTCAAATGTGAATGGTGATACATTTTACATTGTAAGAAAAACACAAGCACAGAATAAGAACATATTCACACAACGAAATCAGCACAGATAGAAACAAAAAATATTTTAGTAATAAATGTTAAATTCGATTTAATAAAGACAATTAAAATAGACAATATGATCACAAAAATAAATTAAAATGTATCTAATTTTCCAAAGTACAGAGATTCAGTCAAATGTTTGCCGAGTGTGGGACTAAATTCGGTAAATTTTATAAAATAAAAACAAGAAAAGACTTCTTTTTTTGTTTTGTTTATTACTGATGCTGTAACAGATTCAGTTGAATTTCTGTGAATTCATGGCACCAAATATGACAAATTCTTCAAAAAATTAACTGAATTAATGAAGGGATTAAGGGATATAGAAATAGAATCTGTTAAATCAATCATGTTCGCTCGTATCTGCATAATAACTCTTTGGTGATGTAATTCAATAGAACAATCTGGAATTCACGAATTCAAGCCGTACGCACTTTTTTTTTTTTTTTTTTTTTTAAATATAATCATAATTTGCTTTCCTTGGGGTTGGTTTAGGTGAAATGTATATATTACTTAGTCGAAAAGTATGAAAACGAACAGTGATGGCATATAATCTGAATCCATCATAAAAATTTCGAGTATGAAATTAGTAAATACTAAACACTTCAAATACCTCGGTGTATAGATCAGTTATAACAAATTTAGTATAAGAGAAAAAAGAAATTGAACATAGAATAGACTGCCCTAGATGTCGTTTCGCCCAACACTGTAAATTGCCAGAAAATCAAACATTAACTTAAGAACTTGAACTGTGTTTTTAAAATAATCTAATTAGATGCAGAATTCAATATGGATGTTATGCATGGCGTTAAACTCGTTCAGAAATATCTAAACTGTCAATTTTATACAATCAGCTTTTCAGATCAATGATTTAAAATGGCTTCAAGCGAGTGGAGCCTGTAAATCATAGCGAGGATCATTCTCCTTCGAACTTTCTGGACTGGCGCTACAGGATCACAAAGAACTCTACCAAATAGTAAAAGCCATATCACTTGATAACTTACAACAGCAGCAACAACTAAAATGGATAGCACATGGAACTCAAAGAGAAAATAATTGCATCATCAAGATGTTGACGTTCCACACTATTTCAAACACTAGTTTGGAAACGAAGTCCTAATCAATACTGGCAAGAGCGATAACAGTTATTGAAGTTGAGAAACTTATTTTATTGAAAAATTGTTTTAATAGAAAGATTTTATAAATTTCAACCGGCAGTAGTACTTGTTACTCGGTCAATGAATACCAAATGTTTGTTTATAAGGAAACAGCTAATATTACCATTACCATGGGTATTTTTGTATGTAGGAATTTTAAGAAATACACACGAAACACATACGTTCGATATCCATATCGCTTACTGAAATTAAAACTCATATTATTTAATTTCCAGTAATAAAAAAATAAATTTTATATTCTGAGTAATACAGTTTCAATATTATATGATCAGCTCTTCTTAGTGGATGATAGCTCGAAAGAATCATTAAGAAATTTTCTTTATTGCAATATATTGGAGAATATTCTTTTTAAATAGTAGCAATACCTTGTTTCATTAATCTCTATCTATAAAAGGCAGTGTGTGTGTGTGTGTGTGTGTGTGTGTGTGTGTGTGTGTGTGTGTGTGTGTGTGTAACGAATGCACAGCCGCAATTTTAGACGGATTTGCACCAAAGTTTACATGCACATGCTCCAAGTTAGCGGGAAGGCCAAGACCGACTTTGCATTTCCCAACTCCAATCGATAGTGGAAATAATCGATTTTTTCATGCTTCTACGGTAGTTTTCATGTAGTTTGCGGCCATTTTCTACTGGCCAGAGTGAGAGCCTATAGCTGGCTGCCACGAATAGCAGGAAGATTCTATTGGCCAGCGTTAGAGCCAACAGCTGCCTGACACGAATGTTAACTAGCATGCTAAAAAAATCGATAGCTGCATTCGTCACAAGTGGGAAAAATTTAAATCTGCATGGCACTTTACTCCAATTGGCTCATTCGCTTGCTTAAACTCAACGTTGATTCTGATTCCGCAGAACTGGGTTGGGTGTGAAAAAGAATTTGTTGTTCACATTCTTTTTTCATTCGGTTTTTCCAGTTTTGTGTCCTTTTTTTAAAGCTGATCGTTTTGTGTTCATTTTGTTTAGTTCTTTTTTCGTAACAGATCTAATGTTTAGTATAGAGCTTAGAAAAAATTCGCAGTGTGAGATAGGCAAGAAGTAAGGCATGTAGCAACATCGGCACGGCAAAGGGCACTCCTTTAAAGGCAAGGAAGGGCAAAAATATTTTAAGTCAAGTGATAACGATTGGTGTATGAGTCGTACGATTTTTGAATCAAGCACGGGCAACGCCGGGCCATGCTGCTAGTTTAGATATAAATAGATTGTTTCGGATATAATGACATTATGCCCGTATGCATATGTGATGCGTTTTTACCGGTTTGGGTGTACGCTTGAATCTATGAACAAATGTACTTCAAGAATGAAGTAATAGATGCGCTTACAGAAGCAAATAGTCTGGATAAAGTAGAAACGTGAACAATACTGAATTGTTTCTCTCTTTATCGAATTGTGCTTTCTCACTTTTATACTGTCTCTTTCTTGATTTCTCTTTCTTTCTCATTCGCATACACAGCTATGTACGTGTATAAGAGATACATGTATGTCTGTGAACGTGTCTGTCTGTGGTTACGTCTGTGTCTCACCGCAGTTAAAGACAACATAAATTAAAAAGTGGAAAATTATTCCAATAATTAAGTATATCTTTGCGCATCAGTACATTCCTCCAGTGTACTGGCTACTTATGAACTGATTTAACTGTATGTGTATCTCTACCGATTTATCAACGAATACGCACAGGTCAACAAACGAACATCTATTTAGCTAACCAACTCTATTTATACATGTAGCCAAGCTAGAAAATGACTCAGTGTTTCTCCTCAAACAATTGATCCGATTCGGTTATGAACCATTGACTTTTTATACTTTATACACAGACAAAGATATATTTTCAACAAAATTGATAAAATAAACAACACCGGGTAAAATTTACTTGCAGACGAATAGTAAAGAAGCTCATAGGTTGAGTGGATGCGTCGCAGCAGCAAGAAGCAATGAAGCGAGGAATGAAAAATAGATAATGTACAATCTCTGAATTGAGCCATAGCCTACAAAAATGTAAGCCTTCAATTTGCGAGAAAGATTCGTCTACATTTTTTAATAATTTACTTATGAGTATGATTAAGTTAGTGTATATAGTTTGGAGTTACTCGTAAAGCATAATAATAAGTATCTAATTATGTGTACGTATATAGACATTTACAGTGTTAGAAGGTAGAATTTCTTAGGTTTTCTTACATATTCTTTTCAGTTTCAAACGTATCGTTACAAGACCACGTTTCCCTTTTAGTTCACACTTGTAAAACACGCGCACAGAGATAAAATAAATATCTTTTCAGTGGTTACTTTACTAATTTGAAATTGTTCAAATATTTAATGTGTAAAATGCATTTGTATATTTATATATATATATATATATATATATATATATATATATATATATATATATATATATATATATATATATATATATATATATATATATATATATATATATATATATATATATATATATATATATATATTTATATATATATATTTATATATATTTATATATAAATATTTGCTACTAAGATGCTTAGTTCGGTGCAAGGCAAAATAAAGAGAAAGAGAATAGAGATATAATATTTCACGTAAAGAGAAACTTATTGCCTTATTACCAATGGTACAATTCTTAATTTGAACAGTGAACATTGAATATTAGCATTCATTTTGCATAAGTACCCATGACATAAATATTCAAATATGTAAGCACCTATTTCTAAAATTATACGCAGTTATAATTAATAACTGTATAATTAACAAAAATTATTCATTCAATTGTGTTCAATTCTTTCCGGGGGTAATTCTGATTATGTAAAGTACACGG